TTTTTGGATGCTCGTCAGGAAGGCATATGGGTCCCATGGCGATATCCTGATTTTCAAGGCGCGATAGATAGTATTTTTAAATTTGTCAGTTGCGGCTTGATGGTGTGTTTTTGTAAGCTGTTTGTCTTGTTCTTATTCCATTTTTACACTCTCAATTTCTGCCTTTTTCTTTTGACGTTTTCGTTTTCGAAGCAACCGTATCACAACAATGGCGGACGTGTCGAAATGATTCATTGACGATTGAACACTATGACTACACCTAAAGTTCGAAAAAGCATAAGCCTAATGTTGTTGTTCGTTGATGTTGGTGTTCCGTTCTATCGAAACCTTCGAAGAACGTGCCTAATTTCTGGCGAATTTTTGGCCCTCCCAGGACAAGTTTTACTGTCGGCTTTACTCTCACACCGGTAAAGTTAGAGTACGCAGTTTGCGCAGGTTTTTTTCTTTCGGGACCCGACTCCAATTCGAGCTTTATGTCATGTAGAATTTAAATTTATCAAAAAGTCAAAGCAGAGTCGATTTTAACCCACGTCCGGAAAGTCTCCTTTCATGAGCACGATGATATCATAGAATTTAACCAGACCTTCTAGGATGCGCCATTGCCTCGCTCCCCACTCAGAATCGTAGAATTCCTTTTTGAAACGTATTTGGTATACGCCATGACTTTTAGGAGTTGGTAGGGATTAGGGCAACGGTTCCATTCTCCCAGACAGCTTCACATTAGTAAGCCTTTTCCGAAACATCTGTCGACACTAAATTCGACATTACAGCTTAGTAATTGAAAAACTGTTTTTGTTGAAGCCTTTTCATAGGGGTAACTGCTGGCCGTAGTCACAAACATAACACTAACTTTTAGCGCACTTTAGCACCAAACTGACGCCAGTTTCTCTTGTACCGTGATATTTTTGGAAGCATACTTATGTAGCATGTCATAATAATGAAGAGGTTAAACACTGCTAGAGGGTAAAAGATAAAGTCTTTTGGCATCGTTCGATCTTCTTTTGATGTGCGCCCCGTACTCGACTTCCATTCATAATCCTAGCGGCGGTTTGGATGTGTATGTGGCCTACGCAATGACTTGTAGAAGTTGGCAGGAATTCAGGGTAATGGTTCCATCTTTCCCAATCGGACTCGCGGGTGGCTAGCCAATGTACTAGTCAGTATTTAATCTCCCAGGTACGGGTCTAATGCTAAAACCGATATTGTGGGGCTGAAAGATTTGGTTGAGCTGGGCAAGTAACGATCCGGGATTCGAACCAATGGCCATGCGTGTATGATAGTGCGCCACTTGCCACTACAAAACTTCGTCTCGTTTTTAACGTAAAGGCTAAAAATCCAAGTTGTAACACCGTCCGATAAATACTGCCGTTTTTATGAAATTCTATACGGAGGTCCACTAACTATGCTTCTAAATGAAATTATAGCTGTGGTAATTCTTTCTGCGATTCACTACCAGTTTGTAGGCTAGACTTGATCTGATTCCGGTAGTGTGGAACAAACGCAGCGACTCCTTCCATTGCGCTACCTCAAATCAGTTCTGGGACAAGTTACTTCTATTTTTTCTTTGAATTTGTGTGTACGACAACAAACTGCGATGAAAAGAATACTGAAGTAGGGTTACGCCTCCATCGTGCGTTACTTTACTACAAGCTACTGGTTAAAAGACGGGGGTGATCGTAAATTCTGCACGATCTCCTGAATGGGATTGCCAGTGGGGGAACATAATATTTTGCCTGAATACAGCATATGGCTAACTACCTCAGATGCCTTATTAAATAGGGAGGGAAAGGGATCTAATAGGGTCCGTATTTGTTTGTTTATGATGGTGATAATGATGTGGCGACATCTGTTCCCCCATAACGTCACTCTGTTGTTTGTCGACGTCGTCGTCGTCGTCGGCGGCGGCGTCGTCGTTGTCGTCGAGAATTTGTACGCCGTGTTTTCGTTCGTGACGTACTCATCTAGTACTAATGCTTAGCTCGTGATTTCCATCCCTCCCCTCAGTATACAACTTGAGGATTTTAATTCTATTTTTATCCAGTTCTGAAAAATTCTCTAAAATCCCCTATCCTTTATGAGGGCCCTTGAAATCCGCAAATTTACTAAACGATGTGTTCAACTGGTAATTTGGGTCTAGGGGAGGAGGAAATATCGCTTTATCAGTACTAGATGACCAGTATTATTTACGGGTTAGGTAGCCCATAGGTAGAAGTGCCATGTTTCACGTAGGTCGGATCCCATCTGTACTAACAGTAGCCCACCCATAGTAAATAAGCGGTAGGTACTGGTGTCTGGTGGACAGGTGGGCCAAATTGAACACCGTGTGAACTGGGCAAGTCTCATTTAGGCTAATTAGGTATTTAATTTGTCCACCATGCTGTCTGCAGATTAAATGAACGGCGCCTTTGAAAGGATGATGTTCCAGTATGGGGCAATCCCCAGTTCAAATTTACCTGGGAACACTAGTCCTTCGAGTTTTGCGGATAGATGTCCCCAGAATTTTTTAGGGGTTTTTCGGCTAATTAGCCTATATGAAACTTCGACGGCCCATAGGGGGGCATTAGGGGGAAATGGTGCAGTTAGGGGAGAACTCTGGTCTCTGGGCATGGGACTCCCTCATTAAATCGAGTAGTGAAACTCCCTAGTACGCTGACTAGTAGTGTAT